CCTGGATTGTAACCTATACACCCATTCCTTGTCTTCGTTTGGATGTACGCCCTTTCCCCAGTCTATATCGTCATATCTGACTTTTCCTGACTTCATCTTTTTCTGACAGTCAGAAAGCAACTCATACTCGAATTCGCCTTCTTCTGTTCTCACTAGACACCATATATCGTGTTGCAATGGTCGACCGGAGAAGTCGTACCCGCTTCGTGCATAAAACGGCATTGCCCTGGCCAGGATGTATCGCGTCGGGATCTGTTCCATGTCATTGATGGGGCTGCTATGTAGCGTTGTCGTTAATTGTTGGCTACTTGCAGAGGCACCACTGTCGACCAATACGCTGCTCTGTTTGCTGTATCCGGTGCCACAATCTACAGCATTCTTTGCATGGCCTTTGGGCGGCTTACTTGACATTGCATTGCTGCGTAACCCAAGTCGAGGTCGATTATGGGAAGTACCGGACATGCGCCAGTGATTCTTGTCTGCTGTTCACCATCCTATCCTAAACTTTCTCACTTCATGCCACGGGATGATGACAGAGTAAGACTGACATTTGCATCTATTGCACGTCAGCTTTACACAAGCGCTCGATGCACTGGAACCAGGATGACCATCTTACACTTACACGGTGCGCTAGCCGCAGCGGCCAAGACTTGTTCTTGCATAATCAGTCTTACGCATAGCGAAGACGCGTTGCATGGAAAGTAAGCTGCTTATTTCTGCAGAGACACGATGTAATAGAGTAGAAAGAAAAGAGCGGCTGTCCTCCGAGGGTTCTCAGTCATCGGACACGATCATTCGCCGCCCCTGGTCGACTCTTTGACTCTGTATTCTACGATACCAATATGGTTGATAACCTGCAATATGGCTACAATGAGCGAACGTGCAGAGACTGGTACGGAACCTGATATCGTTTGTACAAGGCCCCAGTAACAGTGTACAGTATGCAGAAGGACGAAGAGATCAGAAAGCTCGAGGCGGAACTCAGCAAAACGACCATAAACTACAGGGAGGCTCTGGAGAAGAAGCTCCAAGACACCAGAAATGTTGTGGGAAGGCTCGAGTCCGAGAAAGATGAGATAGAAGCAAAGGCCAAGGGTTATGAAATACAGGTGGGTTTATCTCGATTGATACATCTCGGTCGTGGCTCACGTTAAGGACAGATCAAAGCAGCGGAAAAGAATTACCAGAACGAAGTGCAGAACATGGAGGATTGTAATTCTGCGTTGTACGAAGAACAGGCTGCCCATGAGGAGCTCAAGAAATTGCTCAAGGAGACTAAAGATGAAGCCAGAGAGCAGATCAAGTATGAAAAGAACCGACGAGAAGAAGTGGAGAGGACAAACAAGATTTTACGAGAACATTTATCAGCCGCATGCCGGGAAAATGAGACACTGCAGCATGGTCTGTCAGAAGCCCACAAAGAGAAGAAATTGCTGATAGAAGCTCTCGAAAAAATATCCGGCACCAGTCCCTTAGTTTCAAACACTCCAACGGTTGGGTTGGACAACTCGCAAATCGACCTGTCTCATGACGATAACAGGGGCATCAGCGATGATCACACGGCACTGTTGGCAAATTTGACGACACAAAAGTCTCCGTCCAGTCGTCGAGATAACGGACCGAACATAAAGTCGTTCGACCAAGAATTTTCTGCTATAGGGAAACGGAGCGCTGAGTTCACTTTGGACGAGAAAGCGGCCTCGGGAGCAACAGAATATGATGATGCTCGAAAGAAGCTAAAGACAATGCATCCAAGAACTTCTCGAGATGTAAATTGGGCGCCGACTGAAGACCAAAACGGGCACACGCCCAGCAAGTTTGAATTCACATTTTCCGTTCCCGCTCCTGGATCCAAACACGCTCCTCCAGTCTCTAGGAGTCCAAAATCTGCAGCAAGAGACACCACAGATGGCCAGATTGCGTGGCCGAATCTATCTGACAAGGCAAGTGCCAGGTCCTGACTAGCGGCAGTGACTACAAGGTCGACTGGCGAACCCATGGATCACGTGGTGATTGGTGACACCACCTTCATTGCTCTCTCTTTATTGATTCAGCATCAAGGGGATTCAAAGCCAGTGAACACATTGGGAATAGTTGTTGCGGTGGATGAACACAATTTGCAGATCACAGATTGGTCTAGGAGAGATTTGACTCCTATTAGGGTGGAAAGAGATGCATCCAGCCCGAAGGGCAGGAATAATGTTAGCAAGCACCCAGGCATCGAAACTGAGCGGGTTGTCGATAAAGGCGATTGTCTCCTGCTCAGCAGGTTCTTTGTGTGGTTTGATTTGGAGAGAGAAGGTCTACCATATCTGCGGAAGAGGTCTGCCCATGGAAAGCCAGCTGGAACGTCGTGCATATGGAGATATGGGAGTGATCAATGTATCCAGTGTAACCGGACGATCGGCGCATCCGAGCTGCAGGAAATGAGTAAGCTCCACAGCTGGTGGCGTTCGAATCGTAAGGTAGATAAGTAGACTGTTATATTCCGCGTAGCCCCCTAATCTAACTTTGTTTGATCATCCATTTCGTTGCTTCCTAACTACACGTGGGGCATGAGTACATATGAAAGTTTAGAAGAGGTATAGCAGGCCAAAAGTCGTCGCAAGCGTGAACCTTACTGCTAAAAACGCTGTGCGATGACCTTCATATAAACTGAGCTAGGATTCTGCACTCAATGTGACATTTACTCTCTTCTAACTAATCAATCTACATTGTCCGCACCCAACCGAGCGACAAGAGGCTTATCTTGGCAGCAAGACCTCAATGTGTCAGACTGATCTTGCAGAGTACAGTAACGTTAGACACGGAAAGCAACACTCAGAACGCAATGTCCCGCGACAGCTCCTTGCAAGATCGCGATTCAGTCACTCGTTGATGTATGCGCATGACCGCCACCCTTCCATTGATGCTTATATATTACGGCAGTTTGGGCTCTGTACAGAGGAAGATGTTCCACTAGGCCAGAACGCATGTTATATGCAGAACGCTAGTGGGCAGGTATCAAGATCGGGTGTCACCATGTCAAATCCCATTAGAAGCCAGAGTCGCATAGTAGCGCAGTTCATGTTTCCCATTTCACAAACTTTTCAGCTGTCATTAGGTAATTGGTGGCTATAGAGCGAATATATTTTGTGTATTACTGTATCGTCTACTTCGGAACTAGGTCTATGCCTGTGGTTCACGTTATTGGCCTCTGTGGTACTGAGCCGGGGAAGTATGTGCCAGTGTCGGAGAAAGTACGGTATGGTAAAATATCGCAAAATGGTTCGCACTCTCATCCACGATTTAATTCATGCAGAGCGTGATGAACTGGGGAAGGCAGGAGCGAGGATGTGATGTGGGATGGGAGGGCACACGTTCCTGCTTCGAATCTCTCCTCAGATGGAGCAAGGCAGGCCATTGCGGGCACAGTTGCGCCACAGTCTGAGTGTTGCCTCGACTGATCACGTCGCCTTGATGGCGGCAGGTAGAGGTCGAAGACCATAGCGACGGTTGGGGCGCCGATACGTCTTACGCGTAGTCTTTTTGTCACGGTTGTTATGAGATTTATCGATGTTGCGGGCGTTGTGGGCGTTGTGGGTGTTAGGGGTTTTATGGACGGGTGGGTTCAACCGCATTGATCTGGTAATTCTTACTCCAGGCTTGACCATGATAACGGGTTTCTTGCCCATGTTGAAGGTAATCGCTGGTTCTTCTTTGCGAGCCAATGTGGTGAGTGATGAGAGAGCTGACCTTTATATACTACCGAGCGCTGGTGGAACTACGTACTGAACACTTCAGATATCCTGGTCATGGGCCTTCATATACACTTATAGTGATGATGCTGACAGATCTTCTCTGCTTCCGCACGCCTGAAACCTCATAAGCAGCACGAAGCGACGTGTTATCTCTCCAAGATAGCAGCTTCGGATTGCCGTATGCCTGCATCAGGGGAAATGGTAAGCCTATCCGTTAAACTACACAGGAGAGGGAGCGAACAGCAGAGTAAGGTCGCTTACAGTCAGCTACTTGCATTCTGGACGGTCAGAAGTTTCGTAGACTGATGCTGCGATGGACACGATTTGGCATAGTACATGTAGCTACTACCAAGACTTCTCGAACCATGTACTGGCACAGACGCCACCCCGTCACGATCGTGCCCCTTCGCTCGCTGGAACACTAGTTCGCACCTTACTATATAGCGCGAGGTTTGCTACGGTGGTAAGCGCGCTCACCTATACAGAGCAAATGGCTACAGGCAGATACTATTCACATGAATATAGCCATCACGAGAAGTAGAGGCGAGAAAAGTGTGAAGGCAATGCAATTCGGTCTAGTAAACACTCCTTCCAGCCCTTATACGCCTTCTGCAAATCACAGACGTTGAATCCCAATGCTGATCCTGCCATCGGCTGAACGCTGCGTTTAACACACACTACAGTTCGACAATCTCATCTCATTGGTGGTTACCCAGCAGAGCTGTCAACTGCAGCATTTCGTCTATAGAGCCTTGTTGTGCGGCTAGTGTTTCTTTGACCTTCAGCAGGCAGGATACGAGAGCATCGATGAAGGCATTGCGAGTGTCTCCAGATTGGTTGGGAAGCACCGTGGGCTCATTCGTACGTGCGGCACTGGTAAAGTTGCCAACATGTTCGCTACTGTTGGAAAAACCAGAGTAGATCGAACGAGAGACGCTTGTCTGGCACATATCCGCAAAGCTGTAGCCGCCATATGCCTCGCGTGTTGGGGTCCAGGCTGGCTGATAGCCTGAGAATCCTGGCCAGTAGGGAGCTGCGGGCGACCTACTGGGAGGTTGCGCGTAGCTCTGTGGCTGGTAGTTGTATGTTTGATGACAGTCGTACACCTGACTAGAGGACTGGTGCTGGTAGATCCTGGCTGAGGTGTGCGCAGACTGTGCAGAACTCGTGAAGGTCGTGCTGGAGTCGATTGAAAAGGGCAGAGGTGACAGAAACGGCTGTGGTTTAGGGCGTTGCGGCGCAACTGCGCAGTTCACACGTAAGATGGGTTTGCTGGGCTTTGTAGGCGACGCTCTGGCTCTCTTTCGGCTGGGCGAGCTTGTCGGCTCCGTGGCCGATAGTGTTCGCTTCCTCGAGTTTGTTCCGAAATCCATTTGCAAATCGACAAATATCTATTCCGTTAAGGTGCATGCGGGCTGCAGGCCCAGGGATGATATGTAAGGAACCCTACCCACTGTGTTCCCAGGGAACAGTCACCGCTCAGGGTGAGACTGTACGTATACCTTTGCTTACGGCTAGAGAAAGAAAGTAAGACATAAGCTGTGTCGTATGTTGCGTGCACAACATCTCTCTTGCGTACACAGTGCTTCTATGTCGCGCGTAATCCTCGGTGTACTGCTCAGGTCCGCTGGTACAGTGATAGGCTTTTATCTTCGGCAGCGTCTTATTGACTATCGTCACTTACGGTGGGTGCTCGCCTTAGCAGAATTGTAACACGGAATGACTGTATGCGGTCCAAGAAAGGGAGTCAATCTCAAGATGTGGTCTGGCGGCCTCAGCTGTGGCGCCCACGATTGAGCAATCGTTTGTGCACGAGAAAGTCATCGCTGAGATGAGATTATGTATTTGTAGTTTGACCATTCAGTGAACCCATCTCGCGCCTCTGTCATGGACATTGTGCAAGTCAGATTAGTACTTCAGTAACGAGTTTGTTCGTTCCTCTCTGCTATCGAATGTTACGCAATGGCGTGCATGATGCGCAACGTGTGTTTCCCGTTGTAAAAAACGATCGCTTCAAGATATGCGTCCACGGAAACATTCGGGAGACGTCTCTATGAATTGCTATCTGGCTAACAACGCAAACAGTTCATCTATGGTGCAGCGCTACCGACTACGACGTTTTGGGCGCTTCACTCCAGCCAGCTTTCCTGCTACACCTCCCTTGCGTCTGGTAGTGTTCATAGTGCTGTGATGAGTTCTCCTCGATAGGGACGCGATTTCATGCTCCGCTCGCGAGTATCTTCTCAACACATCTCTTTCATGCTTCTGACGGGCCTGCGTCGATCTGGGCTCCCTTCCTCCACGGAGGATTAAATCCTCCGGCGATACCCAGACTTCTCTTTCATCCGCGGCTTGGTCGGT